GGGATAACTCCTGGCGGTGCTCGAGGGACTGTGTGTGGTGTCAGGAACCAAGCAGAAGCCCACCGCGTGCATGGCAAGCGTGCAAACCCTCGCCCTGTCTCTCTGGCCCCAGCGTGCATGTCCTTAAACCAGACATAAAGACCAATTTTCTCTGACACAACCACAAATCAGAAAAACATCAGTACCGCCTCAATATGTGATTTGACACTTAAATCAACTTCTCATCCAGTTCCTAGGAATTTGCTTTTTTTTTTTTTTGCCAATTTTGAATTCATAGCTGATGAATTCAAAATTAGGGCTGTCTGTCACCTCCTCTTGCAGTGGGAAACTGGAGGGTGGGGCACCCCCACCCTGAGGTTCACCAGCCGGTCAGGGCAGGGAGAGCCCCTCACAGGGGTGTTCTTGTCATCTTGTCAGACACCAGGTCCCACACCCAGGACTGGCTGTCCCAATGGGGCTGCTCCTGAGGGCCCAATAATGGATCTGTTCTGCCAAGGGGAGGCCTCCCAAGACCTCTGTCTCAGCTCCCTCTCCTGCCCATGGGGACCCCTGGAACCAGACATGGTCTCCCGAATGCCTCCACGAGTGACCCTGCCCGCGGCCACCCTGGATAGTTGGGCCTTTCCCCGCTGGGCTACAGCTATGGGTGTGAGTGCCTTTGGCCCCCTGTGGCCGGGCCGCGCCCTCCTCCTCCCTGCCCGCCCGCCCCATTCCTCCTTTGCTCCCTGTCCCCTGCTGCCCTCACTTCAGAGGCTCTGGCCCTCCGTTTGCATGAAAACGAAATTAAAAAATCAACTTTTCCACTGCAGAATGTTCCAGGCGTGGAGCTCCTTGGTGGCAGGGGCCCAGCCCCACGCAGCGGCAGCTGATGGCCGGTGCTCAGGAAGGAAACTGTGGCCTGGCCAGAGCAGGGGAGCCTGCGGACAGCCCCAACGGTGGGGTGCTGAGAGGAGCTGGGGGAGGGGGCTGGGGGGGCAGCCTGGTGCTCAGAGGGTGGGCGCCAAAGCTGACTCAGCAGCCGTCTCCCACTGGGGTGCCGTGTCCCCTGTCAAGGGTTCTGATCCTGCTGTGACAGACGGAGACAGACAGACAGACAGATGCCACATCCTGGAGCAGCCTGGCTGCAGGGCAGAGAGTGGAGAGCTCGGTGTGTGTGTGTGTGTGTGTGTGTGTGTGTGTGTGTAGGGGTGTGTACGCGTGTGTATGTGCATATGTGTTTCTGTATGAGTGTGAGAATATGTGCATGTGACAGTGGGTGTATGAGTGTGTGAATGTGAGTTTCTGTGAGTGTATGCGTGTATGTGTGACAGTGAATGAGTGTATGGGTGTGACAGTAAGTGTGTGGGTATGAATATGTGAATGTGTGTGGGAGTGTATGCGTATGTGTGTGACAGTGAAAAAATGTGAATGGGTGTTTCTGTATATAAATGTACAAATATCTGTGTGATGTACGAATATCTGTGTGTGAAAGAGCTTTATGAGTGTGTGTCTGTGTGAGCATATGTGTGAAAGGGCATATGTGTGTAAGTATATGAATGTGTTTGTGAGTATATGAACGTGTGTGAGTGTATGAATGTGTGTGTGATTATATGTGAGGTATGTGTGTGTGTGAATATGTGTGATCGTGGTGCATGAGTGTGAATGTATGAATGTATGTGACTATGAGAGTGAGTGTATGAATGTGTGTGTCTGTGAGTGTGTGAGTGTATGAATATGAGTGTATGAATGTGTGTGTGTCTCTGTGAGTGAATGAGTGTGTGAGAGTGGGCATGAGTGTGAGTGGCAACTTGCGTGTCAGGTTAAGAAATGTGACTTTCATTTCCTGGGATTGGAAGCTTCTGGAAATAATGGCGTTGGAGTATGATCAGATGGTAGGACAGTGAGAACTATGACTGTAGGCCTCAGGTTTCAGGTCCTGGGATGAGGAAGGGGAACAGATGGGATTGGGGGGTCCTTGGCCCTGGGTGTCCCCCCGCATATGGCCCAGCCCAAGGACTAACTCACCAGGCTTAACAGATGGGCCCAGAGACCCTCTGAGCACTGTTGGGGAACCTCCAACTCCAAAAAGAAGACCAGCAACTAGACAGAGGCTGCAGCAAGTGCTCTGACCCCAGAGTGTGTCACGGGGACACACATTCATATACTTACACACCCATATACTTACGAGAACAGTGCAGTCTTTTGCCCCCGCGCCTGGGTGTCCCTCGCCGGGACCCCTTGGAGGGGAGCGGGTCGAGCTTTCCTTCCCGCCCCGACCAGGGCTCCGGCAGCCGAAGACCTCCAGGACCAGCCACCACCATGCTGAGACCACTCTCCGCACACATGAAGGTACTGGCAGAGGGACAAAGCCACGCGGGTTCCGGGGCCGAGACCTCCAAGCCTACTCGAATTGGAGTCGATCATCTTCCACCCAGATCCTCCAAATTCCAGTAGGCGGGGGTCACACCCACCACCTGGCCCCCTGGCGCCGTGTAATCCCATCAGCGGCCAAGACTCAGAGACTATAAAATCCAGATCCCGGAACCGCGCGGCCGCATTTGCGGCCGCGCGACATCTTATCAGAACTTTTCTTTATGACATCTTATTATCTCATTCCTACTTTGGACAAACTTGCAGGCTATCGAATGTAGCCTGCCCACAGGGCAGAGTCTGGCAAACTCCCCGTGGCCTACCAAATATGCCAAATACCAGTAACAATGATGGGTCTCATTCTCCTAAAGAGCCGTGAATATAATCTCAGGGCTAGGATGAAAGAGACGTTACTGGGGCCTGCTCGAGGCAATCGACGATTAACAGGATGATGAAATGAAAAATGAAATGAACACACCCAGAGGGGTCCCCTCCCCCCGCCGGACCCTGGACAGAGGCTAGGGAGCGGCGGTGTGCAGCCTGGGCGAGTTCACTGACTCTCAGACTGTCAGTGCCGTGACCTGGGGCGAGGATGGCAGTGGACTTGCCTCTGTGGCCTCGGCACTGCCCCTTTTCTCTGGAAAAATCCTCTCTGGGAGTCTGTGCCCGGAGCTGGGGAGCAAGAAATGAGTTTTCATGATGGACCTAAAAATACGCAGCGTTAGGAAACTGTCTCCCTAAACAGTGGCAGAGGGAAGGAAAGGAAACAGTGACCGTTTTGGGTGGAAACCTGGTGGAGACGGGACTGAGGGGAGACCAGGAACGGGCAAAGCCTCAGCCCTCCGCGCCAGCCCTCGGGGACGGCCACCGCACGGGGCACTCACCCCCTCCCACCTCAGCCACCAGGGTCCCCATGACACACTCTGGGGTCAGAGCACTTGCTGCGGCCTCTGTCTAGTTGCTGGTCTTCTTTTTGGAGTTGGAGGTTCCCCAACAGTGTTCAGAGGGTCTCTGGGCCCATCTGTTAAGCCTGATGAGTTAGTCCTTGGGCTGGGCCATATGCGGGGGGACACCCAGGGCCTCACCTGGTGGTGCTGGGGATCAAACTCGGGACCTCCTCCAGGCCAGCCACGTGTTCCAGCTCGGACCTGTTTGCTGCCCCGTAGGCTGTCTCCTGGGCCAGCACCCTCATGTGACTAGGATGATGTCCATCCAGGCCACAGTCTTGGCCTCTCCAAGCTGCCGGGCACTGCACACCTGCGTGCTGGGTACTGCTTGCTCAGTCTTCCCTTCTTGCCCACAGCCCTCCCTGGGCCTCCCTCCACCTTGTACAGCCGAGTGCTCCCTGTCCCTCCTCCCCACTCTCCAGGGTGGGCACCGTGCCCAGCAGCCATCCCACTGCCAACTGGCACCCTTGGTCACTCTCATAAGATGCGTGGTCACCCCTGTGTTGCTGGTGACCGAGAACCAAGTGCCATTCATGTCCATTCAGGCCAGAAGTGGGGTCTGGACCCCTTCCGGCTATTGGCCCTGCTCCACCCGACACAGGAGTGTTTAGGGGAGACTGGGCAGTGGGGGGTGAGAGGTGTGAAGACCTTAGATAGGGGGGAATGGTGCAAAAAAAACCAGTACATTCAGGCAGTGAGGTCTTTGGGCTGCTGGCATGGGAGGTGGGGGTAGGAGTCGGGGGGGGGGGGGGGGGGGGGGGTCGGCAGGTCCAAGGCAGCCTCTGTGTGTGTGTGCGCGCGCGTGTGTGCATGCATCCTTCCCTGTGGCCTGCACAGACACTGTCATCAACTAATCCGTCTCTGCTCTGTCAGCCCTCTCCGGACTGGGCTACATCACAGAGCCCTTTCCTCAAGCTCCCCTCTCCCCTCTGGGTAACCGCAGCCAGGGGGCACCAGACCGTGATCTGGTCACCCTGGGCCCTGGCCCCCGCCCGCCTAGGGTCCCTTCCCACCAGGGACGCTTTGGGTTTGGAAGCGACCTGGGGACCCCTGTCCTGTCCCAGGCTGCTGGGTCTCCTCCTTTTTCTTTGCCCCCCCACCCCGACCCGGGTCCCGCGGAGACCCCCAGGACCCAGGCGCCCAGCCGGGAGGTGCTGTTAAGTCGGTGTGATGTTGGGGTGGGACTCGGAAACGCTCTCAGCCGGGAAAACTTCGTGCGCCAAGAGCACAGCCCCCACGGCGCGCGAGGACGGCGGGCAGCACCCGAGCCCCCCCGGCGCCCCGTCCCATCCTCAGGCTGCCCGGGCCGGGGGCTCGGTTCGGTTCGGGGCAGGGGGGTGCCTGAACGTTGCCCTGCTCCCCACTCTCCCATTTCCTCCGTTTCCCCAGAACTCGGGCCGGGCGCCACCCCGTTTGGACGCCGCTCAGGGGCGCGCGTGCCGGGTGTTGGGGAGAGGGGGGAGGCGCGCGCCAGGGGGCGGGCAGCGCCCCCCCCCTCCATCCCCGCGGGGGTCCGGCTCCCCGCCCCGGCGCTGGGCGGGCCCCGGCGCCACCCGCCTCCGGCCGCCCCCCCCCCTCCGGGCGCCGTGCCCGTCCCCAGGGCGGCTCGTCACCGCCGCCAGGCCAATGGGCTGGGCCGCGCGGCCGCGCGCACTCGCACCCGCCGGGCCCTCGCCGCCGTCCGGCCCTCGCCCTCCCGTCGCCGCCGTCCGCGCCACCATGCAGCCCCCGCTGCCGCCCCCGCTGCTGCCGCTGCTGCTGCTGCCGCTGCTGCTGGCCGCGGCGGCGGACGCGCTGCCGCCCCGCGCCGGCCGCTCGCTGCCCGCCGCCGCCGCCGCCTGCCCCGAGCGCTGCGAGCCCGCGCGCTGCGCCCCGCCGCCCGCGCACTGCGACGGCGGCCGCGTCCGGGACGCGTGCGGCTGCTGCGAGGTGTGCGGCGCGCCCGAGGGCGCCGCGTGCGGCCTGCAGGACGGCCCGTGCGGCGAGGGGCTGCGCTGCGTCGTGCCCTTCGGGGTGCCCGCGTCGGCCACGGTGCGGCGGCGCGCGCAGGCCGGCGTCTGCGAGTGTGCCAGCGGCGACCCGGTGTGCGGCAGCGACGGCAACACCTACGCCAACCTGTGCCAGCTGCGGGCCGCCAGCCGCCGCTCCGAGAGGCAGCACCAGCCGCCGCTCATCGTCCTGCAGCGCGGCGCCTGCGGCCAAGGTACCCCGCGCCCCCGGGAGCCCCCCGCGCCGGGGCCGGCCCGCCCGTCCGTCCGCCCGCCCGCCCGCCCGGCCCCGACGCGCCCCCGGGGAGCGACTCGCGCGCCCAGAAGCGGCGAAAGCGGGGCGGGGTGGGGGGGTGGGGGTGGGGGTCTGGGTCGCCCACTGGCCGGGAGGGCCGGGCCGGGGTTCCCCGCCTCACCCCGGTGGTCACTTCCCCTCCGCTTCCCGCGGACTTAAGTCTTGTGCCCCCGCGGGGTTGGTGCCCGAGCGCTCCATCCCGCAGCCCGGGGCCAGGAGGACCGTGAGCCCAGTGTGCTTGCCGGCCGCGGGTGGGGGTGTGTGCGCGGGGGCTCCCCGGGGAACCGCCCCACGCCAGGGTCCCGGGAAATCAAAGTCCAGGGCAGGAAAGTGGGCACAAGACAGGAGCAGGGATGGCAAAATTATCCCGAGTGCCGAGCTAGCCGTTTGGGACCCCCTGGGACTCCCCCTGGCTTCCTCTTCCTTCTCCTCCTCTCTCTCTCAGCTTGAAACCAATTCTGCGTCCCTGTGTGCTGCACCCCCGTCCCCCCACAACTTGAACTTCGGGAAGGAGCAGAGAGGCGACCCCGGTGGTGTCCTCCCTGGGCCAGTGTTGCCAGCCCTACTAAAATGAAAGCGTTTCTCTTGGAGTTAGACATGGGGGACCTTGGGTCCAGGGAATCTAGAGGTTTGGGGGTGAGCCCTTCGAGCGCACCTTCTCTGTGCTAGGGCTCATCTCTCTGCCCACAGGGCTGCTCTCCGGGCACCGGGTGGAGAAAAGCCTCCCGTGGGAGAATGCGCTCAGGGCTGCTTCTGCAGAGGGAGCGTGGGGCTGGGTGCAGTTTGCCTTGTGGGGATCTGACCCAGGTTGGCACACCTGGAGGGTCCAGGACCAACCTGGGACCGGGGAGAAAGCGGAGAGCATACCACCCCCAAATGGGAACAGGGCACGAGCCTGGGCTCCCCTCTGCCCCCAGGACTGCTAGTTAGGGTTCGGGGAGAGGTCTCAGGAGGGGCGTGAAGATGCACGCAGGGAGGGTGTCTGCGCTAGGACACGTGCCTCCCCTGTGACCTTCTTCGTCCCCTCGAGGAAGCCTCCTTCTGTCACTCCCAGTTTACCGATAAGGGAACTGGGGCAGAGTTACTTGCTCAAGGTCTTGATGTTGGAATTTGAGTGCATTTAATTCAGAGCCCTAACACACACACACACACACACACACACACACACACACACACACACACACACACACAGACTGTGCGCAGAGAGGTCAGACAAGGAAGTAGAAGTTTCTGGAAGGCGAGCAAGTGCAGCTGGTGGAGTGGGGCACAGCAGGCAGGAAGCTGAGACTTGTTCGGGAGGGACAGCTAGACTGGCATGGTCACCGAGAGCTTTGGGGTGGGCACCGGGAGTGACCAGGTGGCAATGGGCGCCCAGGGCTGTGCTCTGTTCTCACCCGCATCTGGGCGCAGCAGTGTGGACGGTGTGGCAGGAAGTCAGGACATTGCAGGGGTCAGAGAGGACGTGTGGGGACGTGGGGACGGAACCAGCACATTCCTCTCCATCTGTTGAAAACGAAGCGCCGTCAGGAGGGCAGAATCGCCTCCCCAGGAACAGCGCCCTGAGCTCACCACAGGGGCAGTGACACTGGGGCTTTGGAGCTAGCAGAGATGCTAATACCCGCTGGACCCAAACAGGTCCTCCCCATCTGCCAAGGGGGTCCTCCCGGGGGCGGGGGCGGGGAGGAGGCAGCTACAGAGGAGGAGCAAGGTTGCCTCAGACAAAGCGAGAGCTGGAGAAAGTTGTTCTCTCACTTTCTGCAAGTATTTAATGAGCTCTTCAGTGTGTGTGTGTGTGTGTGTGTGTGTGTGTGTGTGTGTGTGTGTGTGTACGTGTGTGTGTGTGTCTGTCTGACCTAGGAGCAGTCAGTACATGTGTGAGTGGTGATGAGTAGCGGCAGGAATGAAAGCAGGAGTGGAAGTAGGAGTGGTTGCAGGCCTGGACACGGGATAGAATGCAGGAATGATGCAGGAATGATGCAGGAATGGATACAGGAATGGGTGTAGGAATGATGCAGGAATGATTCAGGAATGATGCAGGAATGGATACAGGAATGATGTAGGAATGATGCAGGAATGGATACAAAAATAGATGCAGGAGTGGATGCAGGAATGATGCAGGAATAGATACAGGAATGGATGCAGGAGTGGATGCAGGAGTGGACGCAGGCGTGAATGGACCAATGGGAGGGTGTGAGCCTCGTGGCTCTCCTGACTTTCCTGCACAGATGCGGCTGTCTGCTGCCTCCCTCCTGCCAACACCCTGTCCTCATCTTTCCAAGCAGGACCTCTGAGGCTCGGAGCTGGGGAGCCACCAGGCTTTGTGTGGGGACAGTTTTGCCGCAGCAGGCTGCCAGCAACCGTGAAATAGGCTCCAGGTCCGGCTGCAGGGGTTGGCCGGAGGACAGTGTCAGCCGGGCTGGCGTGGGAGACCTTTGGCAGAGGTGCCCTTGGATAAGAGGCCTGAAATCCTAGTCAGGAGTGGGTCCCGGTGCCCCCAAGATTAAGAAGGGGGTCGGGAGCGGCTGGGGCAGGCCCCGGCGTGGAAGGCACCAGGACATGGAGGTTGATGGGGAGGTCTTGGGGTCTCCCTAGGTGGGAGAGGTCACAGCCGAATGAAGCATTTCACCTGGAAAGCGTTTAATATGGCTCAAGTTTCCTCCATGTCACTTGGAGGGGAGCCCGGCTGCTGTCAGCCGTCCCCGATGACGGGAAAGGGGGTGATCAGGCTGTAGGACCAAGACCCGCAAAGCGTTTGGGCGAGTTTAATGCTGCAGAGATAATTCCATGGGCACTGGCCTTGAACTGGAATGACCCAGCTTTGGTTCTGGCACCGCAGAGGGATCCCCGGAACCCCACCAGGAATGATCCCTGAGGGCAGAGCCAGGAGTCAGCCCCGAGCACTGCTGGGTGTGACTCCAAACCAAAGCCAAGTGGTCAGCCCAAGGGTGTGAAAAAAGCAAGGGTTGTGATGAGGAGGGTGCCACGGGGTTAGCGGGGGACGCAGATTTGGGGCACACTCCTGCCTAGGTGGGATGGGTTGAGCTCTGGGCCGTCCTCACCCTCCCTGGAACAGCTTACTGGAGGCCACCTGCTGACCAGCTGGGACACTGAGTCACAACACTAGAGCCTGGCCCAGTGCTTGAACCCTCCACGCAGCTGGTCCCGAGCCCGTTGCTAATCACTGCACTGTTGACGGAGAGACGGGGATTAGGGGCAGGCCCAGCAGGCCGGGGCCAAAGGCTGCAGTAAACAGAACTCCAGATGGCCCTGCTGGACACGCGGTGCTCGCACGCCGCTGCCTCGCCGCGTGTGGGGGCTCGTGTGAGGTTTCAGATTCCCGGGCCTGGCCGGGGCGTCGCATCGCAGATCTGTGCTAAGATGGAGATGCCCACACAGCAGACGCCTGCGCTGGGCTTCTGAGCTTGGGGAGAGTTCCTCTGGCCCCCAGCAGGCTCCAGGAAGAGGGGGGTCCCCAAAGGTGGAGGCTGGGGAGGTCCCCGGGGCCCGGCTGGGAAGGCGCTGATCTCCGCAGCTGACCTTACAGCACTCGATCGTGGGTCTTGCTGGAGGCAAGTTGCTCACGTTGTGTTCCGAATCCCAGACAAGCACCCCAGGAACTTCGCGCTGGTTCCATGCATGCACCGGAGCCCCTAGTCCCCCGCAGAGTGAGCAGTGGTGTCTCTGTGTGTGTGCGTGTGTTGGGGGGATCGTGAGGTCACTGTGCTCAGAGGCTCCCAGCTTAGGACCCTGGCGCCGGATTCTGAGGGATCTTGTGTTATCCCGGAGGCAGTTTCGTGCTTTGGACCAAGAAATCAGACTTTCCATGAGCGTCTATTTCACGGGGATAAATAACTCCGCTCAGGCTTCATTGAAAGAAGTCAGACTCGGCTGTGGGTGCGGGAGGGTTCGTCATAGGCCAGCTGGGGCAGGGTCTGGTCGGCCGCTGGCTGGCGCTGGCCCTTCCAGGCTGTGACCTGACCAAGTGACCAGCCTCCCTGGTGGAGGGTAGCACCAGCTGTCTTAGACCCGTCAGCAGGGATGGTCTGTGGTCCTGGGAAGGTCCTTCCATGGCAACTTGTTCAAGCCCAAGACGTGAGCTCAGTGACTGGGCCTGAGTTCTTGTTTCCGGAACCCTCTGCAGGGGGTGACTGGGGGTGTCCTCTGGTCATGCTCTCCTTTCCGACCCTGCCCTCATGCCACTGAAAGCAAAACAGGGGCTAGAGAACTAACACCAGTGCTCGAGGACTCGCCTGGCACGTAATTCTTTTCTTTTTTTCTTATATATTTTTTGCTTTTTTGGGGGGGGGGCGGTCACACCCAGCGTTGCACAGGGGTTACTCCTGGCTCATGCACTCAGGAATTACTCCTGGCAGTGCTCGGGGGACCATATGGGATGCTGGGAATTAAAGCCGGGTCGGCTGCATGCAAGGCAAATGCCCTACCCGCTGTGCTATCGCTCCAGCCCCATTTTTTTGGTATTTTTGAATCACCGTGAAACAGAGCATTGCAAAGTGGTTCATGATTGGGTTTCAGCCCTGTAATGTTCCCATACCCATGGGGTTGCATTGCCTGTCCCCCACAATTCCAGCACCTCGAGTTGAAGCCCAGGGCACCCCAGGGCCCTGAGATGTAGCTCTGAGGGCCCTCAGCATCCCGGGGTTGAGCCCAGGGACCCCAGCAGTGTCCGCCCCCCCCCCCCCGGCCTGAGCACTGTTCCATGAGGCAGAGACTCTGAGTCACGGCTCCCAGATTCTGTCCCTAAGGTGGCCAGAGGTGCGGAGAGGTCGGTGTAGCTCACGGGGGCTGGTGGCTTATGCCCCGAGCCACCCTGGGAGGTGGCAGGGCTGTCCATGCCAGAAGGACAGAGGCCGCAGCAGGAACCTCTGACCCGACATAGATTTTCTGATTCCATTCCGGCAT